CTTTTACCGTTTGTTGTTGTTGTTGTTTCACATTTAGACGCATTCATTTTGCTACTGTTGCGTGTAAATTACGGTACTCATGCTCACGCGCTCACATTTCACCATAAAGCGATGAATGTCAAGTTGACACTTTAATGCCTCGAAAGTAGCTAGCCGTTACGTTAAGCGCTTTAAAGTGGAAAGAAAGCAATGCAAAACGAAAAGCTGTGTAAAACAAAGCAGCCAAAATGGCGTGCAAATAAAATTACGGTACTTAATATAACTTACACTCATTTGCCTGTGCCTGTGTGTGTTTGTACACGGGCGCTTTAATGATATTCTGAGTGAGTGTGCGTGCTTAAATTCAGGAAAATTTGGGTTGTAGACATTGCTTTTTAAACGAGTTTGAAAGTTCTTTTAAATTTTTATTATACTTTTGATATCTATTGTTGTAAGAAATTATTGATTTAAGCAAAGCTGCTTATTTAACTTTTCGTTTTTTTTGTTTTTTAAGAACAGAATTGTTTACAACTGATTTACAAGATTTCAATTTAAATTCATATATACATGGCTTATAAGTTTTCAAGAAAAGCCTTTATTTTTGAAAATTCTAAAAGAAAAAATAGAAAAGAATATTCTCCTAAGTTGATCATTGGCTATTACGGTACTATTCGGTAAAATCACTACAGTATATAATTCTAGATTTTCTCGAGATCGGGAAACTCGACTTTATTAAATCTAAGCGATTATACCCTTCACAGCTGCAATTATTGGTACTTACGTATTAAACCTACCGCAGTAGGTATTCTATATTATATTTCTACGCGAAAAAGCTACGGAGATCTCGTCACGTTCGAAGACCGCCAATGCAAAAAGGAGTACTAAAAATGGCCATACACTACATGCATGTGTGTTAGTTTTAGATTGATAACCATTAAATTTTTCCCGCGATGGGATTAATTCTTAAAGCAACTATATGTATAACGAAATTTGGAAACGTAACCGGCCTACGGTTTGTAGCCAACGGAAAACGTTTTACTAGCACTTTCTAGCCTCGTTGTTTTATATAAAGCTTTAAATCGAATTAAAGTTACTTAATAAAGTGAAAGAAAAAATATATTAAGAAATTTGTATTGCTGTGATCAAAAAGTCAGATGTAGTGATTATTATAGTGTGATGCAGTATGCATTACTTTCGCCAGGCCAAACTGTCAACGAAGAATATTATTTGAGCGTCATGCGGTAATACCGGAAATACACTATTCCGACTGGACTGGAAGTGTTGACAAAAGTTCGTTTTACCGGACAGTAGTCCCCGTGAATGGGGCAAAATATCCGATGGACATCTTACCATATTTCTTAATATTAAATGCTTAGCTCAAGCTAAAAACTAAAAATAACAAAATTAATGAAAACTGCTTGTCAAACTAAGAAATGTCAGCAGATGTTAAGACAATCATATCCAAAAATGTCCATACGCTAGAATTTACCGGATATATCCAGCTGTAATTTCTCCTTCCACATAGAATTTTACAGGCGTAAACAAGGGATCTAAATCTATGGGATCACAATGGGGCTAATAATAGCTTAAGAAAGTTGTCTACTATCGCGCTTAAATTTCTTGATAAGAGATTTCAGCTTCAGAAATTTAAAATTCAAAATATTTTTTTACTAAATATTAATAAGCCCAGTTATGTATAGACACAAGCTTTTTTGAATATTTGTAAATCTGAAAAATTTTTACTAAATATTAATGAGCCCAGTTATGTATAGACACGTGAAAGTAGACGATATACAAATGAATCATAAGCCATCATTGATTGCAAGAGTTTCCGGATTATTCACAAAGTAGAATAGGTATATCCATCTATATCAAGTTATATATTTAAATTGTATCAACTAAAATTGTTTGTAGCTTTTCAAACTAGTGTGAACTAGGTAGGTTTATAAAGGGTATCTTATAATTGTTGTGTTACTTGACATCATCTTGTAGAAAATACCAATTGCTTGTGTTGAAAAAACAAACTGTTGACTAACTAGTTCATTTAACGGCAGGCCTATTAATTCGGTAGTTTAAAATTACGACACACGATGCTTAGGAAATGAAGATAATAAATGAAGTTATTCATTCACTAAAAATATTTTTAGAAACATAAGGATATATTAAGCATTACTTTCGCCGCTAAAAATATGTTTAATGAGACGTCTGCCTCTAACTGTGAATTAACGACACCAAATATAAGTCAAAGAAAGACTGTCGCAAACAAAGTCAATTTGGTCAACTATTTTTACACATTTTATGCTTCAGTTCACGCATAAAGTAAATTAATATCAAAGTTGTCTAACTATAGAAATAACGCACCCATAACAGCTATTTAGAAAGTTCTAAAATTGTTTTTGTTTTATTGTTCATTAAGTTCGTTACATTTTTTAAGGATTCTGCTTTGTTCAACAAATTTTATGACTCACAACAGCTTAATTACTTGCGCTCGCGGGTGTCATACCTTACTTTTAATATGCTTTTTTATTGCATTCACTATAAAGTTTATACTTCTTTGTTTATTATTAGGTTCATTACCATTTTTTTAGTTAGCAAATTCTATTAGAATTATAATCTAACACAACTTTACTACCCAATAGACGCATACACATATAGAACGTGATTAAAAAATATAAAAATAATCCAACAACCGGAATAAAAAATTAAAAAAAAAATTTTTAGTCCTAAAAACCGGACTGAAGAATAAAAATAAAAACTTAATCTAGCATATACTTGTAATCGAAAATAAAATTTAGAATTAAGATTTTTCGCGTTCATTCAAATCAAAAAATAATATTTCCAACTTTCAAACCCAAACAAAGGAAAATTTAATTTTAAAATTTGATTAATAAAAATCAAATTTTTAGTCCAAAAATTTTTAAATTTTTTTTAAAATTATCAATATGGCTGAATGATAGGACTTATATATCAGCCATCGCTGATTTTGAAAAAATATTAGTTGTATGGGTAAATGACCTTCGGTGGCGTACACAATCTATCGAAGATGCCCTTAATAAAATCATCAACATAGTCATTGTAAATTTTTGAGTTCTCTAGGACAGCTGGCCATTCCTTGTGTATACCTCAAAACTAAAGCTTCTAAAAAAAGCAACATAAAAATAATATATTCTATACTAATTAAATCTAGCACCTGTCTCGACTAATAATGATATTTTCCTATAAAATTATATTTGTAAAAAACATAAAAATATTAATTTAAATTCGTTTAATGTTCAACAGCTGAACTAGTTTATCACAAACGCTGAGAAAAAATGTATGCTGGAAATTTTTTTAAATTACTGTCAGCTGATCTTCTCGCAACAATAACCTGGGAAGAAATATGGTTGGTTGCAGAAGAAGAAAATAGACATGTCCCCTCCCTTTAATAAAAAAAAAACTTATTAGAGCAACTCACGGAGCCATCCGAACATCTTCACCATTAAGAGCCTTGAAATATATATGCAGTTTCCAAATAGCTTTATATTTTTTGTTATAAGCACTTTCCAATGTCAGCTAGATATTTAAAAGATAGACAGTAGATTTTTGAGGAATAACTTTCATTCAAAAATTCCGCCTTATATATTCAGACACTGGCTTGATAGGATCTGAAATCACAACTCAATGGTTCACTAATCCATTTATTTTTTTCTCCAGATTATCGTTAGGAACAATAAAAGAAATAACAGCGAGAAGGTAAATATACAAGGTTTAATTCCTAATTGCAAAGGATCCATCCAAAAAGTATGCGAAGAAAATTATACAAGTATGTTTGAAATACCTCTTATACCTTGAACTGGGTATATCAAGTTTACCACGAAGGTAACATCCATAAGGAAAGGTCGAAGATTCTATAAATTGTATAATTGATATTTTCAATTTCGATCAAAATCAAGTTTTTTTATTAAATTTTTTTTATTTGAAAAGATAAGTTATTGGCACAGCTAATTCTCCAAGATAATGGTGCAATTTCCTAACAAAATTTTCAGATCGGATAACTATAGCATATAGCTGTCATACAAACTGATCGATCAAAATCTAGTTCTTGTATGGCAACCGTATTCATTGTGTAAGGTTCGGTTACAGCTTCGTTGCAACAGAAGTTTACGTTACATATTTCCTTTAAAACAAATAGCTGGATGTAATCCGGAATATGCTAGTCTAATCAATTTTACATTCCTTAAATTTTTTCGATACCATTGGTTATGCTAATTGGGCTATATAATATTAGTTTGCATTGTACTGGTACTATTTGTTCGGTATAACACCACATACTTCCCGAGAACTTTGATATGGACTGATATCTGTTATAATTATTATTGAAACGTAAATTTTGAGAAAATAAATCTTCTAGTGCTATCCTCAGAACCAGGTTTCCGTTCATAAAATTTACTCTCCTAACAATAAAGAGGGTTGACAATCGCACGGCTGTCAACATCGAACCCATGTGCAAACAAAGAAATGCTGTTAAAAGCGCTTAAATTGTTTCGCGATGGCCTTTAATATATATATTCTCCACCGAATTACAACAAAACTGAGTAAAACTGTCGCTAATACAAAAGCCTTGCAATTAACCTCACACTTTATCCGCAAAAACTTTAGTTCTCAAAAGACTTTTATCTCTCACAACCAATTGCCCGAAAACAAATGCTAATAAGACCAACTTACGTGACCAGTCAACAGCACCTTAGGCTAGCACGCATACCACTACAAACTAAAACAGGAATGAATTATACTCCATTGGGCGAAAAGTGAAAGTTATTCGATTTGTGCTCATTGTCCTTCTTCGCTGCACGATTTTTGATTAACTTATCTGAACACTCAAGATTTGTACGAGTATGTATGTGTATGAATATATGTATGCAGCAGTAGCACACACACTAGTATAGTATTAAAAATATATATTTCCAGCTTCCACGCATACATTTATATTTAAAATTTGGCACACATGCACGCATACATATACACTTTTAAGTGAAATTTACCGTTTAAACACGTTTATGAACTTTCCGCAACAGACACCCCAGGAATTTCGTAGACACGGCACACGTGTGGCTTAAGATGCTAGCATATTCTAATTGAAGTTAACTCGGCTTTTTTTTTTTGTTTTTGGTTTTTGCTTTTGCAAACTTTGCAGATATGAATGTATATATTTTAACTTATTTTTACTTGATATGACACTCCAATATGACAATATCTGCCGTTTTCTGCCGCACTTCTCTTTGGTTTCCAAAAATTTGCTATATATTCATCATTCGTATGAATGTATTTGGTATTAACATATAATTCTCTTGCACTTATAGCCTTCAATCTACGCACACTTAATGCTGCACTTGCAACAAATTAACTTTTTTTCAAACAATTTAGCGTCGTCTACTCAAGAAACACATGCGTGTCGTTCACTAAAACACAACGTCAATATCAATTGCAATTGCTAACATTATAATTATTAAAACTTTACTATTTTCGGGCGACACTTTAACTGCTGATGCCGCACGCACTAACGTTGACACGCAGCTGTCGCTGTAGAGGCTATATCGAATGTAACACGCGCGTTGCGTTGATGCGTTCGCGTCATCACCGAACACCAAAACACTCCGACGGATGAGCACAAACTGAATTTTGTTTGGAAAAAAATACAACAGCAACTGACATTTAAGGACATCGTGTTGTTTAACGGTAAACGATGTCAAAGTAGCGACAACGATTACATTCGTACATGGTGTTTGTTGTTCGGTTAAGCCAGCGAACACAGCAGTAACGGAATTTGCTTATTTCGTGAGTAGTGCTGAATGAAACAACGAAAGACGAAGTGTTTGTGGCACACTGAAAAGCAGCTAACGAACGACAGGTGAATGAGAGAGAGAGAGAGCGAGTGGGAACAAGCAAAAGGTTAAAGTAGCTAACGGTCAACTAGCAGCAGTACTTCGGTACCACTGCGAATGGGTGGGCGGTTGAGCAATGGTGGGTGAAATCGCTTAGATATTGATAGAGTAATAGAGAGATGCAGAAAGCTTGAAGTACTACTACGAAGGGCAGATTTGATATAAACATTCAAATATAGTAAAAACTGCTGCCAAATTGAGAGCGCGTGGGCATTTTATAATTTTCTCAAAAATAATAAATATATAAAATTGTGAATAACGCTCTCGCTAAGTTTAAAAAGCTACAAGTTGTGCTTAATAGTATACGAGTTGCTTGAAATCCTAAATACATGTGATTTAATTTTCGGAGTAAATAACAACTTTGTTTTTAATGGAAGAGCAGAAGGCAGGATAATGGCAATTGTTTTTTTAGACGACCACTAAGAGTCAATTATTAAGCCAAGTTCCTTAGCAAGAAACAATCAGTTTATTTTATAGAATATGTACTCAACTCTTTTATAATTTTTATCCCAACTCTACTCGTTACACCATAATAAATTTATATTTTTCATTGATTAACTTGCAATATTCAAAAAAAAATTCTTGGCAAAATTCTACTGCTTTTCATACTTTTCCATATCTCTTTTAAGAGTTTCTCGTTTTTTTTATTATTTCGGCTCTCTTATACGAACTTTATTTAAGCACTATTGTAAGCTCTTATTGAGAGCTGAGAGTTTTGCAGTTTTATGAGTGAGTTTCACCCCACTTTCGACGGATCCTCTCAGAATTATACCAAATTTCACAAGTCTCCATAAACCTGTTGGAACTTTGTAACATAGTATTAAAAAAATAATCTTTTTATTTCTGCTTATAGCCACTTCTCTGAAATTCATAAATATACAATATTTAATAATGCGATGCCACGACCTTCGTACAACAAACGATACTCGGAGCCAAACAAATATAATATTTGGAGATCATAAAGTGCACGGGATTAGTTGCCTATATGCACACCGCCATGGTATATATGTAAGTATGTGGATTGTCTACTACCGTACTTTGAAGAGTTCAGCATTCTGAACAACATTATAAAGGTGTGTTTCCGCCCGAGTTCCATTTGGGGAAAAAACTTGTAGGACACTCCATTTACAAAGCTGTGCTAATTATGTACAGTTATTTTACAACGGTGTATGAATTTTAAAATAATCTATACTTTCTATCCTTACTGATCATCGGTAACTCAGTAAAGCGGTATGACAGCATCAAGTATCGCGGTTATTATGACAAAAACTTCTCCTCGCACCCTGTAGATTAAAAATGTTTTCACATTCGGTCTTATTTATTAATATGTACGATATTACGATACGAAACATATATCAGCTGTAACTCTCAGAAAATTCAAAATTCCAATATCTCTAATACAAGTTGTAAGCTTTTTCATAAGGTTTTGAAGTTCAGCGATATCTACATTGAGCATATTTAGAGACTTTGTCAATAAAATTGATGTCGATAAATACTTTCTACGCTCTTCCCGCAAAATCTTAAATAACCACATATTCATGGTACTTCCATTAGCGGAACAGTAATTTCCACAACACTATTCGCATATGTATATTTTGATTCGGCAAATCACTGACCACGAGTTGATAAACACTAAACTATAAACGACACATGTGATTCGAACAAAATTGATTCGAACTCACACAAAAAGAACACATTTTCATTTATTTTAATAAAAATCTTAAGTAATTTGAGCCAATACACGTAGACGACTCAAAATGGCAAAGTGGTATTTCGTATTGACCTTAAAATCCTGTGGAACAAATTCACGGTGAACTACAATATCGTAGTCAATGAAAACGATGAGTGTCAATTTAGTTTTTTCGATTTCGACCACGATGTCATTTAATAAGTTCGCATAATAGAGGTTGCCTTTGGGCAAGGAATGGCAAACATACATATGTAATCGTGCCATGAAAAATTATTTTTTAACTCATCTGCGGTTTGCAAGAAATTTAAAATTTGTTTGACCCTAAATTTGACGGATAACATAACCACAAATGAGCGGAGAAGCAGGATCAAGCATATAGTAAAGATATAAAAATAATTTTAATTATAGTAATAAACAAAATGTTTATTATCATTAAAGTCGCACAAAAAATGATTCACCCAAATTTTGGCCAAATATAAGAGAACAGGAAAATACCGAACGGGAATTTAAAATTTAGTTTAATACATGTTGCCATGTCCAGTCTGTTTACAAGACGCGATGTACGTCAGTTTCAATGTACTTGTATGTTTGCCAATTATCAAGTCGAAAGCGCTAAGTATGAAACCCACCATAATATTTCTACTTGCATGGACAATAGGTCCTTGATATCGTTGATAATCACACGGATAAGCATCCAATCTTTAGACAAGCCTAGTTTAAGTTTTGGTTAGTCAGTTGCTATATCACCGGCTTCATTTTGGGATACACTGGCTAAGCTCTCATAGAAGCATAGGAGGTCTTCCAGCGTCTCTCTCGTGCCTACTTCTCTGCACTTGTTACTTATGCCGATTTGACTCGCATATGCTGCCAGTAGGTTGTGACCTGTCATTAGACCAACCGTCCTGCAGTCCTTTCAAGACCGTGTTTTCGTGTTGCGTATTTTCCTTCGAGACTCTTGCCCATAACCTTAGCGATCATGCATTCCTTAGAGTGTTCCATTTCGCCCTGATCCGTCTGCCAGCACTTTCGGAAATTTTCATGGTTTTTAGTGACTTTATCAACTATTTTGTTTCCCACAATTCCTTTGTGGCCTGACACCCTATATACATGCAGCCGCTTACCGGCAGCTACGACATCTTCTGCCTCCCTGCTTCTAAAGACGCTCTCTAACGTAATGCAATCTGTTTGTAAAATATTAGTTCGAAGAAAAAAGTGTTTTTAAAATTTTGGCAAATAAAAAATTCCCGAGTCTATGGATCTTAATATGAGGAAAAATTATAGATAAGCCAGAACATTTACGATAACCCAAACACTTCTGCAATTGACATCGTAAAATCTCTAAAAGAGTCGTGAATTGTAAATATAAACCATCAAACTATTAGACATTCTCGCCACAGCAACCAAAATAAAGCGTATATTCATAATCAGCACTTAAGAGGTGTTGGTCGTTCTTTAGTCTCGATAAGGATAGGTAGTACCTATACATATGAGACAATAGATCAAGGACCTAGATTTAGGGGATTATAGGTATTTGTCTCTGATTGCAGAAACTCTCCGACATACAGGAAAAGGTCAATAAGACCAAGCTGTCGGGTTTGAGGTAAAGATCGCAAAGATGAGTGAGAGTGAGAAAGTAAATCACTCCAAAAAGAAGTCAAATAAAGATTGATAATCAAAACCAAAGCTGCCAACCGAAGTCTCCAGTGCATGGAAAAATAATCAAGAAGAAAAATAATCAGCAATATATTATTTATTAAAAATTGCTCTATTCTAGAAAACTCAGATAAAAATTTACATTTTCAAATTTATATACAAAATTCGGCTGTCGCTTCAATCCCTTCATTCGAACCGTTAAGTACTCACCAGCGAGCCAACATTTATTGCTTAACTGCAACTTATTCAATTCGGAAAGCTCATCCATTTTCGTTTAGTTTGTCAAGTGAAGTATTCAATTTGACGGCTTTGAAGCTGTTGATGTTGATCGATGCATATTGATGACGGCAGTAAACACACACACATATATCTATACGCAAAATAAGAAAAAACGTCTAAGTAGTGTTACATAGTTTTGGACAAGCTACTAAAACTGAATGGAAATAAATTTTGCAATCCAACAACATAACAAAAATCAAATAAGTAAAGTATATATATTTTTAAAATATAAATGCAATGCTGCGCAATGAAAAAAAATTGGCAAGAATTGCCAAGCGCGCTCACGAGACAACAAATGAATTGCAATTTCTCTTCATTGTCTCAAATGTGTTATATAGTATTAACCATTTGTGCCATTGGCGCCAATGCCAAAAAACAATGGGACATTTTATTGCGTTATTCGGATAAAACGGAATCAATCGTATAGATTATTTTTTATATGCTCTCGCAACATAGAGCATAATGCTAAAGAGAGCATAATGGTTTCGTTTACCTAACGGTTGTTTGGAGCACCTAACTTTAATCGAGATAGATAAAGAATGAGATACATACTTGTACATAAAGCAAAATGATTAAAATAAAGTTGATCATTGAGTAAAATTTTAGGTACCTTGATGAAAACAACAATCTCTAGGATTCGAGTTCCCAAAAAAAAGTATTTTTTTGTGACAAAATTTTCACTTCAGAGTGGCCGTTTCGAAAAAATTTCCTCACCATCTCGAGAAACAGCACTTCAGAGCCAATTATACTAAGTTAAGGAATTCATACAAATACGCTCATATCACAGAAACTATTTGCCGGATGAATATACTTTCGGATAATATTGTCAAAGATTTGTATATTCCGCATTTTACTAAAACTCTTTTTACAGCTTTGTTTAGGCCTATATTGTATTACAGTCCTGTGGTATCGAAACCTAATGACCAACTGTATTTTAACAAGTACTTTTAGTCGTTTAAAACTTCAAAAACTACTTCCACTCAGTAGTCATAGGGAAATGCTTGGCATAATATTCCTAGTGAAACACCTGAATGGATCAGTTAGTAGTGATTTATTGGACTCACTGTTGCTCTTTAAAAATAAACTCGAAAAAATATAAGTATAATGTATTTTAAATCTTAATGTTGAAACTTTTGTTTCCGTAGCTACGCTGTTTAAGATTTCGATGCTTAAAAACTCTTATGCCTTTCATGACTTGGTTAATACCGCATGTATGCAGATTGTGCTCATTGCACCAGTTGGACGAAAAGAGGGTAATCGTTGGGTTATTATTATTGTTAAGAGACACTCCTAGCGTAAAACTTCGAACAATAAATTTGGCTTTATTTTCGTATAATTTTTCGATGGGTATAGAGCAAAAAATAACATTCTAAAATTCTAAATGAATATTTCTAGTATTTTTGGAGTTACAGAATTCTAAACTGTAGCCGCTGAGCCAATTATCTTAATCTGTTTATCTTCAGACGTGATTTGCTCAACTCTAAATATTTCAAATTGGCTGCAGTTGTAGATAGAAGACGATTTTTCTTTCTGCTTTTTTTGCACAAAGGTATTTCCAGTAGTCACTAACTATGTATAAATATAAACATATCCTCAACATTTCATGCAGTAGCTTTTCTTTAAAAAAATCACACTTTTTAGGTGGTCCCATTAGGTGTGTTCTTTAAGATGTGGTATCATCTAGAAATGGTCGAAATCGTTCTACACATTTTTACGCCCATAGATACTGAATGTGAAAATTCTCGACTTATCGCTGACTTTATAGCGAATATAAATATAAGTCAAATAAATTAAATGTGCATCTTTTCTTGTATATGTCATTACTTTGACCAGATTATCTTAAACATCTACAATTAAATGATATATAATATATAATATATATGCATATAAACATTTGCAGAAAAACTTGCCTCTCAACAACTTGATGAATCATAAAGTAAGCCTACGACAAATTTAAACGCTCTCGTCACGCAAATAACGAATTTGTCCCATAACATACATTCTGTCCCCAACTTCCAGCATATCATCGGCATTCCGTTTTCTACCCATTTTATGTGGCATAGCGTAACGTAGTTTATCCCAAAATTTGTCATCTTGCCAATCCAAATATGTGTTCATATCCAAATATGCCTTCAATTCCTTATCCAATAATTCACTGTTGATAATTTCACCATATTTAATCATAATTATGCGTGCACGACCTTCGTTCAACGAGCACTGATGCGCTGTGCGAAACTCCATGCGCGCCCATTCCGATTCGATGAAGTGCTGCGAGAGAACAATGATCGTACGACGCGACTGCTCAACCGATTCGATAATTTGTTCAGATATATACGCACCAGCCAACCAATTCCGTTCGTGCGTGCATATACGAAATGGTGGTTCGCACTGCTCGAGTTGTGGCAATAAAGTCTGGTTGACGAAGTCAGCGTCTTGGTGTGCATAGGAGATGAACGCATCGAATCTTTTATTCATATCCAGTTCACGCTCATGAATGCAACAAGTTAATATATTATGGCTATATAACCCGACTTTCGCTTGCAAATTATATTTATAGAATAATGTGATGATGAGAAGTAAAATAATAATAAGTGACGCTGCAGAAGTTATAGTCGCAATCATGTGCTGATAATGTTTAACGTTATCCTCAGTTTGGCATAATTTGCTCACGCTCGCTGTTAGGAGGGTAACATTCTGTAGATTATCACAGCGTAACTGCTTGACATCGGGTATGCGTTGCCGATGTGCGCGTATTGTGTAGAGCAGCTGTTGCGCAGCACAGTCGCAAAACCAAGGATTTCCACTCAGATTCAAAAACTGTAGTTTCGTGCTCTCATTGAGAAAAGCACGCAAAAAATCAGCACTTAAGGATTTCAAACGATTATTACGTAAATCCAGCACTGTCAAATTAGTTGGAAGTTCAAATAGACTTATGTTGAAGATTTTATTATTCGAAGCGTAGAGTTGCGAAACGTTATCAAAGCCGAAGGTGGTGTTTGGCGGCAAAACCGTAAATTGATTACTGCTAATATCGAGTATTGAAGTCGTGAGCGCAACTTGCTCGGGACGTGGCAGTTGTTTGATAACGTCGAGTTCTCTAGCGTTGCAGTTGATGGTCAAAAACTCAGATTTAGTGTAACAAACGCATTTGCTGGGGCACAGCACCGGTTGCCAAGCACACAGCTCATCCCGTCGAAGTTGTGCGATATTCGTTAGTAGCTTGCTCGACTTCTGTTCACACTTTAAATCACTAAAAAATGTACGAAAACCACCATTGTAAATCCAAGCTAATTTACAATCGCAAACGACCGGATTGGCAGTCAGTTTGGTTTTGCGTTCACAATCGTCATCTGTTTTCAGTAAATTTGATAAAGCATATATGTTTTTAATCGAATTGTGCTCTAAGCTTATTTCATATGGGCATTTAACGCCGGCTTCGAAAACCCAATCCATATTAAACTCACTCAGAAGATTGCCACCTAAATTAATTGCTGTTAAAATGAGATCGTTTCCCTCGTACTTTTGAGGCTGTAATTTGATGATATAATTTAGATCTTGAGCTACAGCCAAAGGCATATTGATATTGTCATAACGAAAATTTGTTAATAATGTCTCTGAAGTCTTGGCGTAAGACTCCGTGTCCCGAACTGTTTGCAATTTGTTGTCGCTTAAGTCTAGTCTGTGTAGATGGCTCAACGGTTTTAGATTTGCCATAAGATTTGTGATATCGTGCAGTCGATTCCCACTCAATTTCAACTGCCATAGCCAACGAGATCGGTTGAAAAGTGCAGGCGGTAGATATGACAATAAGTTGTCACTAAGATCTAGTATGATAAGTTGAAGCTGACTCGCTAATAGATTTGGTGGCAATTCCACGATTTCATTACGGCTCAAGTTCAGATAACTCAATTGCGTAAGGGTAGCAAAAATATTTTCATCTAAAATGTGCATCTTATTCCCGGCTAAGTCAAGTTGCCTGAGCGCAGTAAAAGTTTGAAAATGTTCTTGCGTCAAGTTTCGCAGCGTTATGTGTTGTTTCGTTAGACTTCGTGCGCTAAGTGTTAGCGTTGTCAGTGTAGTATAGCGTGTAGAAAATATGTCAGTTGGTATAGTTATAAAGTCTGCTTTTGAGCTTAGGATCAAATGAAGATGAAATAGACTTTGTATGCTAAAAATATTTGTGGTTGATTTTGTCGTAAAGTCACTATTATAGATTAGTGTCAGTTTATTTAGTTCATTCGTTATTATTATTGGCCGCAACGCAAAATTACCAAATACTTTGTTCTTCAATTCCTTGCATTTTTTCTCTTCCAAATAATTTGATTTGAGTAAATTTGACTGAAATTGGTGCTCGAGTAGAAAAGTAATATTTAGTGGTGTTTCTTTTGGACAAGTCACAGGCATGTGCCACACTTCCGAATCAAAGCTTGTGTAAATATCAGCGAATTCATCCTTAACATTGCAATAAACGCCATTAACACAGCTACAAGAAATAATTTCATCCTTATAGCAATCCTTAACCCAAGAGTCTGATTGATCGGTAACTGCGGAAAACTGCAATTTGACCAACAGAAATTTTCCGTTTAGTATTATCCCACTTAGTATGTAGGCGAGTATTTTATACATCTTGCAAATAGCTTGATTTTACTTAAATTGAATATTGTGCTGATATTGTTTCTATATTTTCTGCTCGCAAAATAGCGCTTGCAGACCAACTCACTTGCACTGAATTACTAAACAATAAATATCAAGCTGCAGTTGATTAACCCTCTTAAATGTTTATCTTCAATTTAAATTCCTTATCAAGAAAAATATTTGTGAAAACCGCAAACCCTCAAAGCACTCGTCTTGATATCCGCAGTTGCAGTGGTCCTTATAAAAATGCTTTTCTGAAATGAAGTTTATCTCCCGTAGCGATGACAAAATTTAACAAATATTAAGCACTAATCGAGTATGTAATGTAATAGGTGGGTTTGCAATGACAAATAATAATACAGATGACTGTCTGGCCGTTCCTCCGATCGCGCAAACGATACCTTGAATAAAAATGCAGGTATTTTGAATAAATTTAGTGTTCAGTGGCACTCTGAGAAGGTCATTATTACAGATGGGTGAAAACAGACAATTGTCACGCCCAAAAATGGCCAAATTGAGAAAACTTATACAGAATCTACAAGCTATGAACTTCAACTTTTTCACAGTAGAGAGCAACATCTGGGGTATAAATTATTTTAAAGGTGCCGCTGACCCCGTTTCCTAAAATACGGACGAAAAATGGACGAATCTCACAAACTGGTAAAGTTACATTAAGTGACAACAGTTAAAACAATTCCTTCTACCATTTCTTGGCACAATATGAAAAAGCCCTAAAGAAAACCATCAGATTAAATTTAACTCTAAAAAAACGACTGGTTTGCTTATTAGTCGGTACAAACATTTAGATACTAACGTGGCTCTAGTCAATGAACATTTTGGCCCATCAATTATTTCGAAATGATACTTGCTTTTTTCCTGGCCATACCGGAATCGCTGGAAACTGCAAACCCGATGAACTTGAAGTAAAACGGTACTCTCCCGAATATTTTCAGACAGGGAGCTAAAGGGGCTCCGTTCTACTCCTGCGGTCTACTACTAGACAACTGGGACTGGCTTGAGCGCGGTTGCGTGATTTTTCTGGGTCGGATATATGTATGTACATGCGGTGAGGTTGAACATTTTGACGGACCTAACTTGTCAAAGTTTTCTAGAGGAATGCGAAGTAGAAGCATTTCGATACTTTATCGTCCTCTGTCCAGCCTTCGCTTATGTTAAAAGATCTTGGATGTCTTGTATTCGGCGCACATTTGCATTCAGCTGGTAATTAAGAGCCTTTTCATCTATACTTATGGAAATTTGATTCCAAATTGATCAATATTTAATATCTCCGTAATCTTCGTCGAGAGAATCATCCGCGAAACCTCACTTAGAGGTTAGAGTTAAACCTTGAGGTTAGGTTATATTAATTTTTTTTTACTGAACTTTCTAGTATGTGACTTTTTTTAATTTTATTTTACATTATATGCATTTAATCATTACAAAATAGCATAGGTATTTACAATTACAAATTTCTTATATATGTCCTCTCTGATCGTCTATCTGCTGTATACTATTATACTTGTATACTTTTATCGACTTAAAAAAGTAAACAAGAATTAAAACGAATGTAATTTTTGAGTTCTAATAACATATTTGCTCGAGGAGGCTACATTTCACCAGAGTTTTTGGGAAATAATATACCATTCAAATGTGTTCTCTGAGTGGAAATGAAGTGACAGAGAGAGAACGTTTAGTGTTGACACGACCCAACAGTGGATTAAGTCACAGTTACCTCGAATTATGTTCTCGCCAGAAAAATATATATTTTTGAAGAAAACAGTTTGCAACCCAAAATACACATGCAGGTTCTACATTTCAATTCCGAAACTTTTTGTCTTTAGCCTGCCTTCGACCGAAATTTTATTACACTTTTTTGCACAAAATACTGCGTTTTTGAGCGACATTACATCCATTTGCAAGTCAAAAAAATCACATATTTTCGTGATATTTTTTTAAGATACCTAAAATACTATTTAAAAAATTAATAAACATTTATTATAGTTAATTTACTTAATTTAATGTAGTTTAATAATCGGTGATTTATTTTGAAAAATTTTGGATTCCCTTGATCCCGTGGCGAAATACAGGTGTCTGGTGCTAAGGATGATTTGTATACTCCTGCTACAGAGAATACTAGTTTTGTCCAACTGAAGGTTGAATGTATCACCTAAAAAATTAAGATATCGTTATGAAACTTGGTACACTTATGGCACCCTAAAAAGTGTGGTATTGTAGAAGGCATAACTCACAAAACGCCATTAATATAGGTTTAATCTCCTAGACTATTCAATATATATGATCCAAATTTTCACAGAGTGAATATTATTGACTGTCCCTTAGAAAGTGTAGAAATGTCTTAAATCGAATAATAATCCCGCCCACTCCCCATATAACGGTTTCGTTAAAAACTACTACAAAGTCGTTAAATCGATAACTAAATGCGTCAGGGACATTAAATTCAACGTCCGAAATGGTACAAGGGGGTTTTACAGGAGCCGATATAAAAATTGGAGACGATGGGAGTGGCACCCCCACATTTTGGTGAAATTACATATCTATGAAACTATTACATTCCATAATTACAATGTGAAAAGCGGCGAAATCGGACTAAAACAACTTCAACTCCTATATAGCAAAATGTTAAGTACTATATGATGTTTATACTTTCAGTATACAAATCAAGCATCCAATAATATATCGGGAGAAAACCTTGCACATATAGTGCATTTGAAGTATACCATATCAATTCTCAAAATTGTCAAAATCGGACCAAAACTGTTCAAGCCCCCTGTTATCGAATATAGGGACTCCAGTTCCTGATGCTAACTTTTTACAGGAAATAAATATAAATCTGTGAGATATGTTATTCAGAGAAAGTCTCTTTCTGATAATAGTATGCCCGTATGTCAAAAATGGATTGAATATTGGCAATACTTCCCTTAGCCCGCATATAACTTATCGAAATATTTTCGAACATTGATATATATATATATAAATGAATGTAATTTTTTTTAAATGTTGAATTTTTGGCCCTAAAATGAGTAAAATCGGGTGAAAGCTTGCCCTTAAATTTTGGAACATCCGGTTGATTTACTACATAAATTATATATTGGTGATGGTATGAAAGGTGCCTTAATGAAACTCAGGGAGCATTTTATTCTGTTAATAATATGTATTAATGCCAAAAATAAATAAATCGGGCCACTGCATTTATAAGAACTTTGATATAAGAACTTCCGGTTGGCCTTATGCCATATATATCAGTCAATACTAAAAATATCTCAGCAAAATTAATACAACCTAAAATATTGAATATACTATAGTTGAATGCCGATTATATGTGAATTTAGTCTACGGATTACACCAACTCCCAAATACTACATATATTAATTTGTGTTACTCTAACAAACTTTATGAGGAATATGTCGTTCAATGTAAGAATTATATATTAGGTAAGGTAAAAATTTCGTTCGGTTTTTTATTGATTTTTCAAAAGATGATAACTTTGTGTGCATTTATCCGATATAAGTAAAATATGTGCCGTTTTGTTCATAAACTTGTTGCCAACGAGATGCCAACTTCATTATACTCCTCTCGTAGAAGGCTGTGTCCCTATTGGCAAAAAACTCGGAGAGCCAATTTTCACAGGCCTCTCTTGAGGCTAACTTCTCACCATTAAGCGCGTTCGCCATGGACAGGAAAAGATGCTAATCACTTGGTGCCAGGTCCGGACTATAAGGTGGGTGCACCTCCCATCCGAGCTCCCGGAGCTTCTGGCGAGACACCAAAGACGTGTGTGGCCTGGCGTTGTCCTGATGGAACACAATTCGGCCTCTGTTGATCAAAGATGGCCTCTTCTGGATGAGTGTTGCCTTCAAGCGGTCCAGTTGTTGGCAGTAGAGGGCCGAATTGAGCATTTGGTCATAGGGGAGCAGCTCGTAGTAGATGATTCCTTGCCGATCCCACCAAACACACAGCAAAACCTTCCTGGCCGTCAATCCACGTTCGTTTACAGTATCGGGCCCAAGGCTCCAACTAGAGGAAAGCCGAAGCTTACATTAGGTCAAAGGGGACAAATTCGTTACGAAGCCGCTCAGAGTATGTTATGTTTTTCATAAATCAAGAACAAATTAGATCTCCCGTCACTTACCTCAACTGATTTTCGTTATTCTATCAACTCATATGCCAAACATGTCGTTCAATGTATAAGTTATATGGTACATAATATTTATAAAATTGTTTGAAAATATGCTCTCAAGTATAATTCAGCAATGCCAAAATTAATTTAATCAGCCCATCCTTTTCTCTGTCCCCAATATAGCCTGTATAGTAACGGTAGTTGGTAACACCTAAACATAATCGATATATACAGTATTGTTTGGCATTTCATCATGGAAAGACTTATGCTTGAACAATATTTACAAATTTTTCGACTTCAATACGAAAATTCACGTTCTGTAAAGAATTTGTTTCGCCCGCTTCACTCAACTTTTGGTCAACATAATACAATACATTGGTGTACAAAATACAGCTTGTGCAAAACCCAAGCGACATCGTTTCGCTCTATGTGCTCTTGAAAAGTTCCAAGAAGATCCGACCTTTTCGAGCCAAATTTTGTTCAGCGATGAGGCCCTTTTCTGGCTCAATGGGTATGTAAACAAGCAAAATTGCCGTATTTGGGACGAAAATCAAACTAAATTTTTATTTACTTGTAGAACTTCTACCGACACTGTAAAAATGGATGAAATCCGATGATAATCCTTCCCACTCCCCATATAACAGTACTGTTTAAAACTACTTAATGGTATGAGAAGTCTTTATAGAAGTTATTATGCTACGTTGTAAAAATGGGATGGATCGGACTACAACCACTTGTACTTCCCATAGAGCACAATTTTAAATTCCATATGATTCTTTCACTTTCCAGTATACAAATCAAGGACCAATCAATGAATCCAAATAAAACTTTGCAGAAATAGTGCCTCCAAGCTAGTTTATCTTACGCCCAAGCATTTTCAAAATCGGATTATAACTTTTGAAGAACCCATAAGCCAAATATGTAGACCCCAATGCGTATAAC